ATATGGGGGGGGGGCTTAGACCCCTGCCTCAAAATATTGAGAGGGCTGAAGCCACTAAGAACCAATGTCTGGCTAGGCTTATGTAGGATTGCACTGTGATGCAACTTCATGGGCCTTAGTTCTGAATACACGTGCATAGGATGATGCTATAAGGATGCAATCCTATGTACACTTAACCATGGATAAGTCCTATTTGACTTAAAGGGACTTGCTTCTGATGAAAGATTGGACTGTAGCTATCTGTAGTTCTAAATGTCCTCTAGTTTCTAAGATTTCAGCAAAGCCCTATTACGTGAAGGCCATTTATCTGAAAATATTATATGTTCCCCCCTGCTGCCGCCCTTTTTGGGAGTTCTACACACTGCCTATTGCACATTCTCACTAGTTTAATGTTTTTCATATCATTTTTGGATAACAACATTAGTTAATTAAGATTATCAATTACATAAGCAGCACCTATCAAAAATACATCAGAAACGTTATACTGTTCCAGCAGACACACACACACACACAGAGAGAGAGAGAGAGAGAGAGAGAGAGAGAGAGAGAGAGAGAGAGAGCTGAGAAATAGCCTTTGTACAAAATTGCTGAGGCCACATCACAGATTGAAAACCCATTTTAACAGCACCCAGAAGTAGCTTCCAAATCCAATTAGCCCACTATGACCTAGCTAATCCAACACAGTTCTTTAAAAAGGAGTTGTGTACTTTTCATTATAACTTCTTATTTCTTCTATAATAATATATCACATTTCTGCAAGTCTGCCTGGTTTCTACTCCTGAACTGCTTTGCTGGTGTAGCTGGACAAATGCAGATTACAGCAGGAGGTGGATGCAAAGCTGATAGACTGCGTTCAGGGAACCTGTATCTTTTTGCCTGCAAAAAGAGACCCCCATTAGATCCTTTGATGTTATGCTAAGAACTACCCAGAGGAATATCACAGCCCTCCCCTACTATAAGGAGCCAGTAGGACTTTGACCTAAGTAGCCGTTATATTCACCCCAAATTCATCCCAGACTTCAGATTTATTCTAAGGACAAGTATCAAATTATCAAGCATCAAATCTCTAGTGTCTAACAGGCCAGGAAATAAATGGTCTAGAATGAATGTGGATATATGAAGGCAATGGAAAAAAATATGTAGTTTCCTATCCATTCAGCTACTGTCTATCTTTGTATCTGCCAACATCTTAAGAACACTTGCAGTATGATATTCTGCTCCTCACTCAATCCAAAAATACCGCCTGAGCTTTTTGACAAACAGCCAACTATCTGTGAGATTCTTTGTGCTTTTCAATTTCTGTAGCCTTTCAAGAGATGGTAGTTGCTTTCAGCTATGGAAGATTTTTTTAAAAAAATAAATAAATCACAGTTTAATATGTTGTTTACCAATTAGTCTCAAATTCAGTCTGAAAACCGCAAGCATCTTTGATTTAAATCAGGAGTAGGGAACCTCTTTTAGCCTGGCAAATCTTCCAAGGTCACATTCTGATGATGGGTGGGGCCAGAGACAAGAGGCAAGGCAAAAGTAGGTGGGATAATTTTTCGTATTCTAAGGTATTTTATGTATTTTCCATACATTTTATGTATTTTATATTGACAATTAATGAGAATTGTCTGTAAAATATGTTAAATGCCCATAAAATACATAAAAGCCTAAGGAAGTGTGGAAAGTGTTGGAATGATAAAAATGATCAGTTATGATTGGTGGATGGGTGGAATTTGCTAGAAATAGCCTTATGGACTGCTTGAAGGAATCTGGCAGGTCCATGAACTGGGAGTTCCCCAACACTGATTTAAATAACAACAAAAGCCTGTCTGGGATCATATATTCCAGCTTGTATAGTCAATGAGGATCAATAAGATGGATTTGTTAAAATCCTGTCAACTGTTATCTTGACCCTGGTTTTTCTTACCTTACTGCATGCACAACTTGCTTCTGGCTCTCTATTTACCACCTCGTTTTGACATACATTGGTACCTCGGGTTAAGAACTTATTTTGTTCTGGAGGTCTGTTCTTAACCTGAAACTGTTCTTAACCTGAAGCACCACTTTAGCTAATGGGGCCTCTCACTGCCGCCGCCGCACGATTTCTGTTCTCATCCTGAAGCAAAGTTATGAACCTGAGGTACTATTTCTGCGTTAGCAGAGTCTGTAACCTGAAGCGTCTGTAACCTGAAGCGTCTGTAACCTGAAGTGTCTGTAACCCAAGATCCCACTGTATGAGCAAGGGAGTGTGGGGTGGCTACACCCACTCTTGACTGGCCAAGGGTAAATGCAGTCCTCAGGCCCAAAAATATTGACTAGCCCTGAGTTATAACTATTTCCAGTTTCTGATGAATATTAAGAACATAATTATGACATCTCAAAGCATTCAGCGTGGTGGAAAGCCTATAATCTGTATCTGGCTTACTACAGATCTCAACGTTTTGTCCTAATGCTAATTCAATCTGTCCTCACATCACCTCCTCAATCTTCCTGCTCAGATTTTTTCTCCACAATGTCCAATTAAGACTCATTCCTTGTATATTATTAGAAAACTATCCTGTGGCATTAGTGTCAAAGCTCGTGGAATGCCAACAAATTCCTTTGGTCATTGCATGTAGAGGCAGGACAGCTATTGAGCTTTATCCTGAACAGTTGCTAGCGCATTGATTCATATAATCTTAGAGTTGGAAGAGTCCTTGGAGTCACCTGGTTCAGCCTCCTGCTCAGAGCAGGACTTACAGTGCCAGATACAACTACAGTAAATCTGGCAGATGATCATCTGACCACTGCTTAACTTCTGCAAAGGTGAGACCACCATCTTCGGAGACAGTCTGTTCCACTATTGAACAGCTGATACATTCAAAGGATTATCTTGCCGGAGAGAAGGAATAAACATATCATACAACCTTGTCCTATCAAAACTTGTTGCATAGCATGGTAATGCAATCCTGTGACTCTCCTACCTGATGTTGATTCTTCCTGTACTGAGTTTCTCCAAGGCTCACTAGCCATCATTGAGAGAATGTGTTGGTCCAGATGAACTGGGCCCATCTTAATTATTTGTTTTGGTTCTTTTTCATTAGCACTTTTTGTTATAGCTTCTGCCTGTGGGGAATAAGACAGAGAAGAACATTTTGTCACTTCTGGGTTCTGTTTTATTTTCTCAGCAGAGAAAAGGTAGACCGGTCTATTACTCTCATTTCATTCCTTGTGTTAGTGGGACATATTCCTTTCTGTCCCACTAACACCAGGTTTACATCATTAAAGAGAATACTTGTAACCATTCAACTAATAGTTTTATAGCCTAGCCATCTTTCCTCCCCCCCTTCCTTCCCCTTTTCGGTCATGAACCCAAGCTATTAAAGGAGTAGGTTATTGCTTATTTGGAAGAAGGATCGTAGACGTAACCTTGAATGGCTTTGAAGCTCTGTGTTATATATCTATATATCTATATAATCTTTATACCTTGTCTTTTGCCAGTTGACTATAATTATTGCTAATAACAATAAAAAAATAAATAAAAAGAATGCAGCTGACAAGTGAGGATGAATTAAAGTAGCCAACAACTTAACTGAAACAACCTTCAAGTTCAACCCAATAATTTTCTTTGAAAGCCATAATTAAAGAGACTTTAATACCACAATTGAGAAAATCCTCTCATGTACCTCTGCCCACCATACTTCAGATGACCATTGCAGAGTGGTGCGGAGAGTGATTTATGCCATGCTGAGCTTCTTGGGGGAAAGCATGAGATATCAATGCCACACTTCAGATCATTACTATGGCAACTGGTAAGCCCTGATGTGGCTAAATCTGAGACAGCCTAAGATATTGTAAACTGCCCTGTGATCTTTGTATGAAGGGTGGTATAAAATTTAATACATAATTGTAATAATAATTGAACTCTAAAGAACACTTGGAAAAAGATAAGCAAAGCCACTTAGACTGCAATTTTAAATAGACTTGCTTGGAACTGAAGCCCACTGAACTCAATGGGGCTTAAGAGTAAATCTAGATAGGTCTGGGTAAAAATGGATAATCTGATTTAAGTTATATTGTTGCTTTCAAATAGCAGTTTACCAAACTTTGGGCTGACTAGAAGAACATCTCTATCTCTTCCAAATTTTGGCACCTGTCCCTTGACTTCGTACCTGTGGAACATATCCACCAACCTAATTTAGCCACATTATTGCTTGTAGCAATTAAAAACTGCAGTTAGCCAAATTATGATATATACTTTTTCATGCACCAGTCAGCATGGCAGTGCTAGCTTTGAAATGACTGTGTTTAAACTCCTTCCCTACTGTGCAGACTTTAATTTGTTCCTATGGCTAAGATGATTATGTTTTATTTGTATTGCTACAACTGGAAATGTGTTCCTGTAATTAGGTGGTTGATATATTCATCAGTTTCACTGGAAGTTAATTTATTCAAAGCAGTCTCATTTTTTATTGCCCAGAAAAATCTATGTACCATATATTCAAATCCACACCCAATGTAAAGACCTATTTCTTTGTGGGCAGCTTGTGCACTAGAAAAGTGATCCAAAAGTGACTTTTCAGAAGTCAGTCACAGCCAGAGCCCCCCACATCCCTGGACCACTTCCAATATTATTTTGGAGGGTTCCTCCAATCCCCTGGAGCATCTTTTCCTTCTTCTTTCAGTTGGTAGAGTAAAGGTAAAGGGACCCTTGACCATTAGGTCCAGTCACAGACGACTCTGGGGTTGCGGCGCTCATCTCACTTTACTGGCCGAGGGAGCCAGCGTACAGCTTCCGGGTCATGTGGCCAGCATGACTAAGCCGCTTTTGGCAAACCAGAGCAGCACACAGAAACACCGTTTACCTTCCCGCCAGAGCGGTACCTATTTATCTACTTGCACTTTGACATGCTTTCGAACTGGTAGGTTGGCAGGAGCTGGGACTGAGCAACAGGAGCTCACCCTGTCGCGAAGATTCGAACCACCAACCTTCTGATCGGCAAGTCCTAGGCTCTGTGGTTTAACCCACAGTGCCACCCGTGTCCCTAGTTGGTAGAGTATGAGGCTCTTAATCTCAGAGTCATGGGTTTGAGCCCCACGTTGGGTGAAAGATTCCTGCATTGCAGGCTGTTGGATCCTCCATACTGAGGAAGTTTAGTTTTCATTGGATACAAAAATCCCACCTCTGCTTATGAATAGTGTATGTGTGACGTTATTAACCCCCCCACCCATCTGCAGCCCTGTGCCCTAAACATTTATTTTTGCAGTGTGTGTGTGTGTGTTAAGGGCAGCAGGAGCAGAAAGTACTTCTGCTTCCACAACATAATGTTTTGGTCCAAGGCCAAGCCACTGAGAAAGCAAAGCAAAGAAATTTTTAGTGTATGAGTGGCTCTGACTGCTTCTCAGTGATTTCCCATAGTTTACTGACACCACCTTTGTATTTATCTGAGGATTTGAGTGGCTTCTTTGTCAATGATACCACACGGAAGGTGAATTCAATAAAAGCATATAACAAGAGGTTAGCACAGCTGAAAAATGTTCAGGTCACTTGGTGAAACAGGCTATTGTTGCCATGCATAGAGTGAGTGTTATTAAATGGATGAACCTGTTGAGCTATGCTTTAGAACAAAGGTTATACTGAAATCTAAATACAAAGCTATTTTCCATTCGGGAGGGGGTTGTTTAAAAAGTGTGTCAGTACTGCTTTAAATTTTGAGAGCATGCCAGCTATTAGTCTCACTTCAAATGCATGTCTTGGCAGGTACGTAAATATTGCGTGTAATTTATTGCATGAAGAAATAAGTGCCTGGAAGAACAGTCTGCCTTGGCTTTTAACTCCTGGCTCAAAGCTGTTTAGGATTTAAAAAAATATATTACAGATGTAAATTAAAACTTCATGAAGCAGTCAGAATCTGTTTCGGAGAAAGTTATTCATTGAATTAATGACTGCTGAAGTAACTGTATCTATTCCTAGCAGTAGTCACTGTATCTATTCCTAACAGTAGCAGTGGTTGGTTGTGGGAAGAACCTTTTCCAAAGCAATTCGGAGTTTCACACATTTCCCATGCAAATTCTACCTTCAGATGTGCAAATTAATTTCTCCAAATGTGACTTCAACATTTTAACTCACTGCTGCAGAATAGAATCTGATTGTTTTAAACTATTTGGTCATCAAAACAAACCAACCAGTACCAAACAGCATTTGCAATGATCATTAAAATTACATTCTCCCACACAACTGGTGGGATTTTTTTTTGGACCCAGTGCACTGCAGATGGATTCAGCCCTCCAGTGCGCTTATGAAAGAGGAAACAAATTTGCTGGTGCTTTGTAGCTAAAAAAAATTGCAGGTGGGATGGAGGGTCCAAAAATAAATCAGTGGCCCCACATAAATAATAAGATGTCCGACAGACAGAATGCCAACTGGTTAAGCTTTCAACATAATAGTATTTACATACTAGGCAAGCTTGATGTTCAATTTCTGCCTGCCACAAAGCTGTTAGTCACAAGACCCCTGCTTTCCCCAAAGCCAGTCCTAAACCATGGAAAGAACTTGCAGCTGTAAACGAGATATGTTACCGTAGGTCTTTCATCAACCGATTTTAGTTCTTGATGCAAAACCAGATGTGGTATTTCAGATGGTTGTGTGTGTACTTTTCACAGCTTAACTGCATCCCTCCCCCCCCCCCCAAAAAATGCACACGCACCACCACACCAAGAGGCTGGATAACAACAGTGGATTATATTGTGGGGTTTTCATACACTGCAGCATGATCAATGTCATGCATTATGGGTGCTGTAGTCCAACATCTGGAGGCTACCACATTGGCTACTTGTAGCATAGACAATTCTGAACCGGTTGGAGCAAAAGTCCAACTCAGTGTAAAGTTGTACCCTATGTTCCTTTTGGGCTGAGTAGACATGTATAGGATTGCATTTGTCCAGCATACCAAAAAGGAAAGGAAGTCAATGATTTTGAATTACAGTACTAATCAGCCCTAAGAACAAGTTATTCTAGGTTGTATCACCATCTCTGTATTCAGTTGTCCAAAAGCTCTTATATTCAAGTGATTACTTTCCTTCTCTGCTGCATTTGCAACTACTTCAGAGTGAAATTTTTGTAGAACTGGGTCATCCACAGGGGTTTAACACATGAAAGACCCCACTGCTAGTTAACTACTGTACTATAGCCACCACATGGGGATCTTTAGAGCACTTTTATCTGTGTTAGCTTGCAGACAGGAGGGGAAAGTATCTGTTTTCATCCACTGAGTGTCATGAATAGAATGGTTAGCTGCCTGGGAGACACATGGTGTCTTAAAGCTTACTGTGTGGTCCTTATGTGGAGGAACGTGCCTCTGGCCTTTCGCCTCAGGATTAAGCCCTGTTTTTCCACCCACCCCTTTACAGCAATGTGGCTGCCAGTTGTCTGACTCTATCCTGCATAGATTCCAACTCCTAGGGGCCAAGGCAGTTCCAGCCTCCCCCAATGTATTTTTTGAGAGTTTTGGGCCCCCTCAGTTTTCAGAGGCTGTTCAGCTCTGCCCCTGGTTCCTCACGGCATCATGCGCATGACACCAGGACTTTGCACTATGTCGCATTGTGCTTCCTCAATCCTCTGGAGAAGCTGGCGCCTCTGCTATCCTGAGTGGTTGTTACCCTGTGTTGGAATTCACATCTTCTGCAAGTTGGATCTTTGTGGAAAATGAATTAATATAAATAGTTGGAAGCACACTAATGGTTTGTGGTATTATGAGACTCTGCTTATAGCTGCTAGCTCAAGATTTGTATTATCTTCATAACAAACTGACCTAAAAGTATCAAACCAAATCTGAATTTTAAGCAAGAGTTTTAAGGAGCAAAGCACATGAAAATGAACTGATAAGTTCTCACTTTTGTTGGGATATCTAGAACAAATAGCATTTATGGGTGGAAGTAGATGTTATAAGAAAAATGGCAATCTTGTCAAATTCTCCCATTCTTTCACTCTTTCTCCTGCATTATATACTGCAACTTACCCTGCATCTTAATATTGTTGCAATGTGCTCTACTATAGCCCTGTTCAGTTTTATACCTGTGAGCATCAAATGCAAGAAAGTGTCATCAAGAATATATGAGATAGGCCTTTCTCCTATATGGGCAGACCAGCCATGCCCTTCAGACAATCTGTGATTGGCATCAGCCTGAAGGGGAATATAGAAATATATGTAGGGCTCCCTCAGCAGAGACAATCATATTGATTGATCAGGATTTATGTTGACATGTAAGGAGACCTACATCTGTGCTCATGTAGGCCCCCTCAGATTGCTGCCAATCACACATTGACTGGGCCCGGGTGTGGCATGTCCAGTCTACATTTCAGAGTCTGTGAGGGTCACATGATCTGGATAGTCCTTTCACATATCTGGAAACTATGGGTGTCACTTACATATAGGACATCTATATACAGAGCACATGTACGACAGCATGTATGAGGAGTGCACTTGTATCTGTTTTGCCATGCATATGACTGCTAGGAATCGGAGACATGCTACATACTGTCTGAAGCAGACATGTGCATAAGTGTGACAGTGGACATGCACTTTGTCACAAATTTTTAAATGTGTGTAACATCCTTGAAGGTGATTGTAAAGTATGATACAGTCTGTATTCTGCTTTTCCCCAGGGAATTCTCAGCTCTCATGGGCTGTTCCATCATTTTGTTTCGCATGGGATTGATGACCAACTGTCCTGTGGTGTGTTAGCTCCACAGACATCCCACTCCAGTTGTTGGTATTAATCTTTCCTCTGAGCATCTTGTGTCAGTTTTCATAATAGAAGCTGGACATGACGATTCTGGTAAACGTAATAGCCAGGGAGATGCCATGTAAAAGCAACAATAACTAGCTTCTGATCTCCATGATATGCTTTGCCTATACACATTTGTAAAAGTCCCCACCTCATATCCATTTGTGTTAATACTCTGCATCTTCTATCTTCATCAGAAGAACATAATGGCTTCTGTTGACCATTACTGTGTAGTGGCCAGCGGAGTTCTAGTCATCAGATGACTAGCCCACACAAGGAAGTTGACTTATTACACCTTTTCTCCTCCCATATTTTTCGCACAGGAAGATATATCCTATGCTAGTAGACTACTCCCTGACTTCCTCCAAGGCCCAACAAAGGAACCAGACAGGGGCAAGGGTGCCGACTTGCCCCACACATTGTTGGGGCACATCACGTGATGCATCACGTTACGTGTCATGTGACACATCCCGCCCCCACCTAGTGCAACATCATCAGGGAGGCAAAGTGGGGCTGCCGGGGTCCACGCTCTGCCTCCTCCTCCCCACGTGACATTGGCAGGGAGGAGGTAAAAATGGGGTGGGGGCTGAAGACCCCTCAGCCCCCACCACTTGGCACACCTGCGCAGGGGCTGTTCACAGACACCCATGCTGCCTGCCCCACTGGTTTCATCCCTGATATCCATGAGGATTCTATGTGCCTAGACAAACCTATGGAATGGGCATATCACTGGTTTCTATAATTATTTATTCATCTTATTGGTAGCTGTACCATTTATTGCAGCTCTGCAACTATTCCACTTTAAAATGATAACAGTTCCAGCTTCGTTCCAAATGAACTAAAAGGGATATAGTTTTCTCTGTATTTTGAGTTTTAAAAGTTGGCGAGGAGAAAATAACCCAGAGCTACTGTCCATAAATACATTTCAAATAGCCCTCAAGAAGATGAATGATATACTGGAACAAAATGGTATCATTTTAATTCAGTTTGCTTCCAGACATTCTGTTTTAATGAGAGGATCAGAGTTCAGCCTGACTGCTTTGGTATTGAAAAGGAACAGATTAAAAAGGGAATCAGGAAAATATACAAAATTGCAAGTTTTCTCATCCCCTGCCAGAGCTAAGAAATTCACAGTTTGATTATGTGTGAGAAGAAAAAGGAAGAATAAATGTTTTAAAAGTGATATAAGCTTCACAACAGCCTGCGTTTCTATTCCTCTTGGTACTATTTTGTGATTATAGATGCAACACACTGTACATTACTTTTACAGTAATAGCAGGACTATTAAAAACATGCATACAAGCAGTAACTGCAGTAGGAGT